ACAATACGAACTCTGCTTTTTGGAGCGTTGCGAACTACTTTATTTTTTTAAGGATAACATGGAAATTCACAAGCGAACAACGTCGTCGTTAGGACGGAGTGTTCCGCTGTGCTCGCAGACTGTCAAAGCCGTCCTTCGAGGGACCGCAAGAACTCCTTTGGAGACTGTGCGCCGAGAGAAGCTCGCCAGCACCACGTATAAAGCATTTGCTTTACAGCTGGTTTCAGGCAGCTATGACCTTTCAACTTGCGCTTGGCGCCAATTCGAGGAGGCAAAAACTTCTAGAGTGCCCCCCAAGAGCCGTCCAGCAGCTGAGTCCCTGCCACTGGCGATACCGTGACAGAACCAGGACGATTCACATTTCCATCGCTGAACACCGGATGCTCTGGTTAGCGTATGCTCTTCGAAATGGCACGGAATTGTGATTTGGGCATGGATGCTCTGGTTAGCGTATGCTCTCCGAAGACGAACGGAACTGTGGTTTGGGCATGGATGCTCTGGTTGGCGTATGCTCTTGGAACACGAACGGAACTGTGGTTTGGGCGTGGATGTTCTGGTTAGCGTATGCTCTTGGAACACGGATGGAATTATGATTTGGGCATGGATGCTCTGGCTAGCGTATGCTCTCCGAACCCGAACCCGAACGGAATTATGATTTGGGCATGGATGCTCTGGTTAGCGTATCCCTAACGGAATTATGATTTGGGCATGGATGCTCTGGTTAGCGTATGCCCTTCGAGCCCGCACGGAATTATGGTTTGGGCATGGATGCTCTGGTTAGTGTATGCTCTTCGAAACCGCACGGAATTATGGTTTGGGCATGGATGCTCTGGTTAGCGTATGCTCTCCGAACCCTAACGGAATTATGATCTTGGTTTGGGCATGGATGCTCCGGTTAGCGTATGCTCTTGGAACACGAACGGAATTATGATTTAGGCATGGATGCTCTGGTTAGTGTATGCTCTCCGAACCCGAACGGAACTGTGGTTTGGGCATGGATGCTCTGGTTAGCGTATGCTCTTGGAACCTGCACGGAATTATGATCTTGGTTTGGGCATGGATGCTCTGGTTAGCGTATGCTCTTGGAACACGAACGGAATTTACGGAATTATGGTTTGGGCAAGGATGCTCTGGTTAGCGTTTGCTCTTGGAACACGAGCGGAATTCCCACCGCACCTCAGCAAAATCCCCCGCATACCCCCTGTGTAGTGTTCGTACCACGGCGGAATATGAACCGTGCACCAACTACCCCCGAGCCCATTTCATGTTCTATTTCCTTTTCCATGTGAATCTCCGTTATTGGCATTACACTGGTAGTTAGTTAAGCTTTGACATTATTATCAAGGCTGGTTGGGCTCCAAGTTGTAGTGAGACATGGTGATAGATTAATCAAAACATTGCTTTCTGGGTCTCATCCAAAAGAAGCATACTTTTGATGCATCGGTTTCACACGAAAAGAAGGGGAGTTACCTGCGCTACCTCAATCAGACTTACGAAACTTGCTGATCCCAAGCCCAGGCCAAACAGGCTGAGCCCCAAAGCAGCGAGACACAAACAAAAAAACAATGAATACTTCTATACTCACTAGACTCAGATACTGGTTACCCACATGCTCCATACATCTGCGGGGACCTATGTGGGACACATGGACATCTCAAAAAAAATGTGGCTGCCCTTTCATACCCCAAGATGCCATAATCTGTTTCATAGGACCTCTGAAAATTCAGCCCTCGAGTTTTGGACCCTCCAAAAATCATTAGTCAATGTGTAGACAAATGTATGTGTATATATATATATATAGAGAGAGAGAGAGGTAGAGGGACATATGCGTATATGTATATACATTCCTAGAGACACCTACTGTATGTATCCTTTCATCGGATATGGAGGCATAATTTCAAAGAATTCCGAACTGGACAGCCAGAGAACTCCAGCAGCAGTGCTTCTTTACCTCGCCTTCGAGAGCCTGCCTGGAGTTTGGGGTTTAGAGTTTGGGATTGAGAGCTTAGGGTTTAGATCAAGGCTCAATAAGGTTTAGGGGTCTTT